AAAAAAAATGAGAACATACCCGCATTCTTCGCGCAGAATCTTCCAATGACCTTTCAGGAGCCCGACGACACGTTCAATATGCGATCGGACTGCGCATATCGCGCGATTGTAACGATGTTCTGAGCAGATGCTTTATTACATGGCCTCCGATGAGAGTGGGCTTTACCTGCCTGAGTAGAAGGATTTTCTACAACTTTTATCAGAAACGACTCGGCGGCATAGGCTGAATCGCCTATCAAACCTCTGGCTTCTGTCCGCTCCTCATAAACTGATAAAGTCGTGATTCCCAAAAGACGCGACTATCATGCGCCGATCCAGGGAAGGACGCATTGTTCCACTGAATTCTGAACTGTTCGTCACATATCAACCCCACGTTTATCGAATGGTAATGCTTCCGATTTACGTAGTCTGCCTCATCCTCATGAGGAGCGATTATTCGCACCTGCGTACCATCGATAAAGCCAACGATGTTGGGTAGATGATGGAGATCGAACACCTTTTCACTTATTTGCCTTCGTTCCTCGGCGCCGGGCCAGTAAACATTTGTCGGCATGTAGACAAACTGCATCAACAAAATTTGTTAAAATTCTGCTAACTGTGGACTGGTCACATCCATCCATACGGACTGAATCCCTCTGTTTAGTGTTCCTCCCGAGCAAGTTGAGGCATAGCGCAACTGCGACATATGTGACGTTGTGCGTTAAGACCAGTCAAAATCATGATGGCGCTGGAGACCGCCCGTGCAAGGGAACCGTCACACAAACGAAGTGTTTACTTACTTCTAGTGTTCACCACACTGGAAACAGATAATGAAAAAATGAAATCAAACTTCACTTCTCAATCATAGTACGTAATAAAGAGATCTCTTCAAATTCCTTTTTACCAGTGTTATACAAAAACCGGTTCATAAAACTTTATAGTAACAATACCCTTTATTCTAACCTCTTATTCGTCCTCTAAATATACTTCTTTCCTATTTGTTAACATTCAGTACGTATTGGTAGGTATATA